AGCTGTATCACACGCCAGCTATATGTTACTAGGAAAAACACGAATTGGATTTTTTTTTTTAGAGATTTATTTATTTATGCATACAATAGCTGGGGTAAAGGCCAGAGGTAAGGGGGGTAAGAGGATTCACCAGAGACAGAGCAGGGAACAGAACAGGCAGATTGACCAAAGCACACTGCTGAGGGGAACAGCAGGCGAGCCAGGAGAGGTACACTGCGCCATGTGGGCAGCTCCCTGGCGGGCTGGGTGGGGGATCAAACTCGTGTTGCAGAGGCTGGGGACAGCTTCATAGGTTGCGTCTTAAACCCTTGTGCCACCAGGGAGGCCCACAAATTGGATTCTTATTTCACAACAAATACAAGCATAAACTTCAGAGTAAAGAGCTAAATTGTTTGCAATATAAAATGAAAACAAAAACTATAAATAGAATTTTTAAACAATTATGCTGTAGAAAAGTACTCTTAAAACTCAAAATCCAGGAGAGGAAATTATTTTTAACTTATTTTTGAGATAAAAGAAAATATTAGATAAAATTTGACAAAATAAAGATCAGCAGAAATATGGGAAAGCATCAGCAACATATGCACAAAAAAATTAATAGCCTTACCACACAAAAAAATCCCTAAAAATCTGAAAGAAAATTAAACAACCCAATAGCAAATCTGGCAAAGGTTATAAGCAAGCAGTTCACCACACGGAAAGATGTACAGTACCCTTCAACTCAAAAAGCAAGTTATAATAACTTCAAGGAATCCATATTAAACATACAACTAACAAAAATAAAACAATGTTCACAGATTTGGGATAAACAAGCATGCATACACATTCTAGTTCAATCTTCCTAAAATAGAAATACATACAAAGTTTTAAACCTGTTAATATCCCTTGCTCTGAATATCATGAAAAAGATAAGGCAAAGTCTATCGTGACATTAGAAGACTTAATTACAAAAAGGAGAAAATACAACAAGCCAAAAAAAAAAAAGAAGAAGAAGAAGAAAACAAAAAAGAAGAAGAAAAAGTATAACTGTAGACTCTTACAGTTGGAAGGAAAATCAGCTTCTCAGGTCCAACCACTCACAGACACAGGAAAAGTAATACTGACAGATGATCTAGATGCAGCATTTTTATGCAAATTCCAGAGAAAGGTGGGGCAATGCATCAATTAATCACTTGTGGTCAACTGTTAAAAATGACCTCTAATGGTAACTGTTTAATAAACTTATAAAATTTTGTCAGGATCAAAGGCCTGCATTTATTAAAATTTAACTTTTTTTTTTTTTTTTTTTTTTTGGTGGGACCCTCCCTGGTGGCTGGGGATTGAACTGGAGCTGCAGAGGCTGCGGGCAGCCTCGCAACCCAGCACTCAATCGCTGTGCCACCAGGGGAGGCCCCTAAAATTTAACATTTTAAAAGCATCATTTAATCATTTTTCTTTTGAGATGTCTACCTGTTTCTATTACTGGTGCAGTACTGAGAATATCAGAAATGTCTTTCAGAACCTTCAAATAGAATGCTTCTGTACGTAGAAACTTGAAATTAGTTAAAGCTAGATACCCTCTTACTGTTATCTACTTTCTTATTCTTTTTTTCTAATTTAAACAGTTAGAAGGAAAATCAAAGGGAAAAAAAAACAAAGGAAAATCAACTGTTTAAATTAGAAAATCTTTTTTTTTTCCTTCACAAGTTAGGAGATAGAGTTAGGTGTATCCTGTTATCTACTGTTTTAACTTTCTAAATTATAGACCTGTGACTTCCTTTTTCCTTTTAGCTGTGAATTCATCTCCAAGAATTGTGTGTGTAGTCATTTTGTTTTTTTCCTTCTTCTAAGCATCAATCATTCTGAAATTCCTAGTCATCTTCTGACAATATCCAAAGATACTGTCTTGACCCTCTCTTCTACATGACCTTTTATTACAAGTTTCTCCTCCATCCAGAAAACAAAACAAAACAAAACCTAAGTCCTAAGAGAAGTAGCTAAGGGAGGGGGGTTAGCTCAACCATAATTTCCACATGCCACTATCCCCACCAAATTCTTTCATATGGCTAATAACTTTTTTTTCAATCACCAAAAGTGCTCTGTAAATGCAGGTACCACCCATATTCTACTCTGAATCTCCTTTCCACTCTGAAGTGCTTCCCAAATTTTCCTATAAAAACATTAGGAACATATTTAGACTTTTCACTGTTTTAGGTGGTATACTGCCCATTAATCATAAACATTAAACTTTTATTGATTTTCTAATATGTGTCCCTCAGTCTAGGGTATACATTTCCTTCTCTGTTACTTTTATTTATTTTTTTTTTTAATATTAAATTTTATTTTTATATTCCCCCATACAATTGCAAACGCCCCATTCTGACCCCAATCCTTCCCCTCCCGCCCCCCACCCCCCAAAAAGTGTCTCTGGTTCATAGTTTTTTGTTGATTTTGATTTTCACTTTCTTATATTCATTTTCCTGGTCCCTTATTTAAGTTTTCTAGATTCCTGCTATGAGTGAGACCATCCGGTATTTTTCTTTTTCTTTTTGGCTTATTTCGCTGAGCATGATCCCTTCCAGTGCCATCCATGTTGCTGCAAATTGCATGTGTTTATCTTTTTTGAATGCTGAGTAATATTCCATGGTATATATGTACCACATCTTCTTGATCCAGTCATCTATTTTTGGGCATTTGGGTTGTTTCCAAAGCTTAGCTACCTTCTCTGTTACTTTTAATATAAGCCCAAGACAAGGTCCCTTTTCTCCAAAGGTTTTTCCTATAATTTGCATATAACTTTTTTCTAATGGTCCTAATTAAGTCCAAAATAGCAACTATTATAATTAAAGCTTCCATTACCACCTAAAATACGAAATTAGATTCTGCATGTGCACTGTATAAAAAACACTTCCAGAAGGTATTTGAATATTTGCCATTTCCTATCATAACTACCCTTCCTCTGCACTAACCACTGTTAATTGTATTAAGGATATGCTTCCATGCCCAAATGAATAATATTGATACAGCCAGTGTATTTTCACATAGATGTGTAACTTGTTAACTACAAGGTTACTTCCAATCTTCTTCTGTGGCAGGAATAGCTATCCTCCCACCAAAAACTCTGTTCTCACCTTGTATGGTGTGAAGTTGTCAGTGAAAGATAGCTTGGTGTGGCAATGCCAAGGACCATTTTTCTCAACTCTAACTACACCAAGGTATGTGCATACAATTACTTGTATCAATATAATGGAAACTGATGTGTGCCAGAGATTTTTAAGAAGCATGGTTGCTAGGAATATATTTAGAGATTAAGGTATAAAGGAAAGGTATCCCCTCATTGTAAATAGGTAACTCATCTTAGGGAAGTTAAGTACTTATTGCTCTTTAACATTTATAAGTCACTGCAAAATCAAACCTCAGTTTTCCCATCAGCATCAAGCAAAATGTTTATTTAAATTCATCTTGTGCACTAAAGCCTCTAGTTTAGCACCAGGCCTGCCAGTCTAAGGAGCCTTGAATAAAAATCATCAGTGATTACTGCATCAGTTTTAAAGTAAGGAACTATTTGTTGACATTCCGTTCCCAAGTTAAGTAAATATTGCCAGTGGACTGCTGAACATTGCTACATTTAAAAATATTAAATAAGTACCTACTATGTGCTATTGTTTTCTGCTTGGGATAACTTCAGTAAATAAAACAACCCTCATGGACTTTTACGTTCTTGCAACAGTCAGTCCAACACTTAAAGAGTTAGCACAACTGTTTAAAACCTGTCTTATGTGGAATTAATAAACATGAGTAATGATGGAAGTGCTGGAGTGACATGTGAAGGAGTGGGACACTAATGCTACAAAATCAAGTTCAAAGTCCCACTGGAAAACAATACCCCAATTTATTAGAGGACAAAAGGCACATTCTTAGATACAACTGAAATAAAAGGAAGTCAAAGAAGAAAAGGTTTCTAAGGTGGTGAAGGAAATCACTGTCAATGGCAGAATTACATGGTGGTAAAAGAGTAACAAATAAAATTTCCATTTGGAGCTTTAGATGAGATTTCTCATTCAGAGTGAAGAATTCATGTAATAAGATTTATATGAACAAGTCTTTATGGAAGAATTCTATTACTCCCTCCAGCAGGAAGTGAAATTTTGAATGGTCCTGCCAAGATGTAGGAAATTGCTATACTATTGCAAGGCAAATTAGAAAGTGTGATCTCTTTCTGCAGCATGTGTCTAAATGTGATGGACCATGTAGACAAAGTAAACCTTTTTTACTAACTTGTCTAGGAATAAATGAAGTCAATATTGCAGAGTTTGACCCCGCTTGAGTCAGAAGACTCAAATCTGAGTATAAACAACACACACAAACACACACACACACACACGGGAAGATTTGTGCTTTGACTATATACATATAGACTATATATACATTTTACAAACCAAATGCACAAAAGACAGCATTTGCCAGTTTAATTATTGTAATAACCCATATTTTACATGCTTCTTTGTTCTTTTAATAAATTAAATTTAGTTAGAAAAGAAGAAATTTGATTGGAAAAACAGCAAAACACTGTTCTTTGTTATCTTAGGCTGAAAATTTTATTTTATAAAAAGATTAAAAAAGCGCTCCAGAATTAGTATATCACTTTTGCATTATAAACCCAAATCTAGAAAAGGAAAGCTTTTGCTACAGTGTGGTTAGTGTAATAACTCATCTTTGTTTGTATAATATTGGACTTTACATCTTTCATCAAATAGGTATGGCAAAATTACTTCCATTAGAAAGAAAAGCTTATGTGGTTGAAAATTCTCAGGCTCAATTCAAATGTATGGTTTATGGGAGAAGGAAAAAGGTAAGATGTTCCCCATTCCATCATTGCTCCTTACTTCTAAGAAAGATGTATGAACAGGCTTGCTGTCAGTTCCAGAGTCAAATTCAGTTCTATCCAACTAGTCATGTGACCTTACCAAAATACATACACTTTCTGATTCTTAGTTTTTCCATGTGTAATAAATACCTACCTCCTTCCATGATTTTTCTGTATTTTGTAAAGGCTTTAGAGATTTAAATTAAATGTGATAATGCACATGAACATGCAGCACCAGCCACAGAATGGGCTCTCTTCTTTTCTTCCCCAACACCTAACAGGAGTAAATGGGAAGGAAATAGAAAAAAGTGCACAAAAGGGTAAATTATAAACTCTATGTCTATACTTCATTTTCCCAAGTCCTTTTCTATTTTCCTCATTATAGTTTCTCATTTCCAATCTTTTTTATTTATTTATTTTTATTTATACAATAGCTGGGGTATAGTCCAGAGGCACAGGAGAGTGAGAGGATTTACCAGAGACCAACTGGGGAGCAGAACAGGCAGACAGATCAAAAGCACTGCTGAGGGGTGCAGGGGGTGAGACAGGAGAGGTATGCTTCGCCATGTGGGAATCTCCCTGGCTGGCCAGGAATCAAACCTGCGCTACAGAGGCTGCGGTACAGCTTCACAGTTCTGTGCTCCACCTGCTGCGCCGCCGGGGAGGCCCTCATTCCCAATCTTTTGAAGCATTTTCATTCACAGGGTTGGAACAGGAAACTTTTTCATTCCTTATGCTGTCCCATTGTGTCTAGCAGGCAAGTATGAGAAACTTGGGAAGCTTCTGTAAGTAATTTAACAGCAAGGGAGACAAAGTTATATTGATATGACAAAGCTATATTGATGTGTAAACAATTGACAAATTAATAAAATTTGAGGGAAAAACAGCAAAAAGAAAGAAAAGAGCATCATAGTATACTAATTTTAAGCAGAACGCTTTTTAATGCAGAGCTGGGAAGTTTAGAAGACAGGGTGACCGGCAAGACTATAGGTTCATGAGAGCATTTTATAGGTCAAATATTCATTTATTCAAAGTAGTCAACCATTTTCAAAATGCCAGTGCTTATTTTATTCTAAAAATACTAACTACATGTATTTAAGGAAAATATGCAGAATTTTAAAAATTAATTTTTTTTAGATTTATTTTTATTTATTTATGTGTACAAAAACAGGGGTGTAGGCCAGAGGGGAAGGGTTGAGGGGATGAGAGGATTCACCAGAGACATAGAGGGGGGCAGAACAGGTGGATCTACTGAAATACACTGCTAAGGGGAATGGTGGGTGAGACAGGAGAGATCTGCTGTGCCATGTGGTTTAGCATCCTGGCTGGGATTCAACTCATGCTGCTATGGCTGGTGCTAGCTGGATAGTGCTATGACCTAACCCCTTGTGCCACCAGGAAGGACTCCCCCGCCACAAAAAAAAATTTAATGTTTTAATGTTAGTGGCTATTTTCTGATAGAATGTGACAAAGCTGTCTCCAATAGTCATAATTACCTGTGCACAATTATCATCTTCAATAATTAAGTCATCACTTTTCTAATCTTATTACACGATAAATTGGTAATGTGGGAGAGGATTTATTTTATTGTAAAAATTTATTTATTTGCTTATTTATGCGCAGAGTAACTGGGGTGTAGGCCAGAGGTACAGGGCGTAAGAGGATTCACCAGAGACAGAAGGAGGAACAAAACAGGCAGATATAATGAAATACACTGCTAAGGGAAGCAGCAGATGAGACAGGAGAAGGATGCTGTTCCATATGTAGGTTAACTCCCTAGTGGGGATTGAACTCCGGCCATGGTAGTGTTAATGCTGAGACTAAACCCCTGGTCTCAGGTATCACACGCTAATATCTGGGAAGTATTGTAATGGATTATCACACTAAAAAAGATCTACCAATCTACAAAATTCATAACTGCTTTATAATCATAGCCAGTTCTCTCCCATTGTGAATTCCTAGAAGGTAGCAGTGATGCTGCAACAAATTTTGTAACATCAAAACCAGCACAGTATTTTTCACACCATTTGTAACACCATACATGTTACATATCCATGTCAACCACAGGGTTTAAAAAAATGTTCCCTTATTAGTTAAAAAAAAAAAAAAGTTTCCTTACCTAATGCAGTAATACTATATTTGCATATTTGCTTGAGAAAGTTCACTGCAAGTCTATGGGTCAGTTTTTTACTATAACCTTTACTTATCTGACATGTAATTTTATTTCAAATTCTAGACTTTGAATTTGAATTTTATCAATATAAAAAGTTTAACTGTACTAGAAGCACACATTTATATAAAATAAGGCTAAAAGGATGTTAGAAAACACCTGACCCAACTATCTCCTATTTCAAATGGTAAATCTAAGGCGTAGGGAGTTGACCGAATTCACCAAGGCCATATAGCTTCACAGAGTCATCTACCTTACAGACCTTTCATTACTATATCATACTGCCCTCTTTGTTCCTTTTCAAAAACCCAACTGCTATTAATTTAAAAATGCCATTATCTGGAAATACGAATAATAGCAGAACAAAATTTAGAAATCAAATATATCATGGAACAATTGTAACTATTAACTTGTTCATTATTAGCGACCAACTTTTTCCACCCCACCCCAATTTCTACTTAAATCTAAAAAATTGAAAGTTATTTTAAAAATTAAAGAAGGTACTAATTCTATAACTAGTTTAAGAAAACCTAGAGTCTACACATTGCTGGGGACTGAGGCTAAAACGAGACAATCTTTTAAGTTTCAGTGGTCAGTCCTTTCCTCCCCATACTTCCTGTCTCCACCTTCCGCCCATAGCCTAGCAGACATATCCTATGAACTATGTATTCTTTTACACATACTACACAAAGAAATGAAGTCTTTTTGTTTATGTCCTGAAAGATGAACAATAAGTCATTATATTGTCACTACTTTCTATTGGCATAACTTAGGCTTTCTATATTCACTAAAAATGTAAAAAGAAAAAAAATCTTTAAAATAAACCGTAGTAAAGACTAGCTTAACTTCAACTACAAAGAATTTCCATTCATGCTAGATATATTAAAATGACTCTTAAATTCACATTTGCAAGTTTTTAAACTGCTTTATAAGATCATTTTCTAGAAGAAAACTCTGAGAATAAAAATCTAAAGAATATGTTTTCACTTTAATCCCTAAAAATACCAAACTAGTTTGATGAAATATTAATAGTGGTATACCTTAAAAATGTATTGTGTGGAAAAAGTTTGTGTATACAGCCACACACACACACACACACACACACACACACACACACATCACTCTGTGTATACAGGTCAAATTTTATCAGGCATTCATTCTACAAGGGAATGTTCTCAGATTCATATTCATGTTCACAGTTCCTTACCACAATTAGTACTAGCAAGGTCAAGTATTTATCACTGTCATTAAAAAAAATGATTGTAATTATAACGTAATGCTTTCATATCAGGGTTTTGTGAGAACACAAAGAGGATGGACTAAAGTCTTGCTAAGAATGTACCACAATGACAGTGTACTTAATGTTCAAGTGTACAGTTTTCTTTACGTCTTCTTTCCTTCTAGTTATACAAGTTTGAACACTGTTTCTTCTAATACTCAGTCCCATCCCAAATTAGCCAAGTCCTGAGTGAACAAATCCCCAAACTAAGATTAGCAAAAGGAACTGCCTGGCATGTTTATAAACTGAGCACATTTCAGAAGCAGCAAAATTTGCCTATGCCACCTTCCAGTCTGGGGCTTGCCGTACATAGCTGATATTTGTATTTGTTAAGTCCATCTTCTCATACCCCAGGAATAATGAATGAACAGAAAAAGAACCTACCATTTCTACTTGCAAAATTCAGGATGTCACAGGGGATATGATACCTGCAGTTAGTTCTAGAAACAATGCCTCTTGCAAGTCTCCCACTTCCTTAGAGAAAGTAGGAAGTCTAAAGAATCTGCATAACAGCTCTGCCATCCCTGCACACTACAGTAACAGCGGCGACATTTCAGAGAGACACAACTCAAAGCAGCATGGAGTATAATAATATATATACTTCAGAGAACTTATAGTCACATGTACACACTTACCAGGGGAAAAGAAGGGAAACTGTTATCCTGGGTTGGGGGAGGGGAGGAATTGAAGTGTAACTCAATCTGTAAGTACCTCATCAGTACAATAGCCTATATTCTGAAATTACAGGACTCTCTCTTTTCTGGAGTACATGTAATATCGTAAAGAGTAACACCAGGTAAAGCCAATCCAGACCAGAAGATGTTACCATCAAGTCTGCTAGTTCCAAGACAACAGTAGTGTTGCTGCAGCCAACGATTCCTTGGCATACAGACATGTTAAAATGATATTGGCAGCAGCACTGGCTCTTCTCTTTCACCCTCTGCTGTTACTATAGTTCCTTTTGCTAAATCTGCCTCTGAGTTTAGACAGGAGCTGGATGGTTCATAATCACCCAGCAGCTGCAGCTGAGCAATACTCAGCCTAATTGTGGCGCTGGAGCAGCTGAGAGGAAGAAAGGAGATAATACATACTCTACCATAGCCCCACACAAATTGTCGCACACACTAGCACACACTACCAATAAGACACTTTAATCGGAACAGATTACCTCCTTTAAAGAAAAGCAGTTAGTTGTACCTCACTAAAAGAGCTTGTGTTTGTATTACAGACCTGTTTCAATGTGAACTGAAGGTGACCTACGCCATGTAGAGTTCTGAACAATGGAAGATCTTAACCAAAACTTCCTGTAAATATTCACACAACAAAGCCAGCACCACAAACATCACCTTTATAACATGACTGAAAGTTCCTGTGATATAAGAGTTTGGCACAGATATCATCTCTTCTTCAAGTCTATATTACAACAATGCAAAGTTACAACAACTAAAAGAGCAAGCCATTATACAAAGCAAATAAAGTACCATAATAACAATGATTCTCAGCATTTTTTAAACTCCAACATTGTATTGTCATTTGCTTTCTTTGGAAACAAAACACACTCTTCCTTTAGATGCTGAGATTTTTCATAACATCCCTAAGGATATCAAAACTACAGTAGAAATAACTGATGTAAAGAATTGCTGTTCCAGAAAACTGAAAATGGATTACGATTTATTACCATGATCCCATATTTAAGTTTTGAGTTTTAACTGACACGTTACATTTTCAGAAAAAGAGTATATTTTATACTTGATTACAGAACGGTTTCTTTAGTTTAATAAACACATTTTGATTAACTGTTACTTGTCGCAATACATAAGCTGAAGAGGATTTGAAGAATAAAAGTTGGTGTCTCCTCTCAATATATTAACATAATCAAACCGTTATTTATACACCAAAGTGGTTATGTACACTAGCCAATATACATCAATCATGATTTAATAGGTGTAATCATGATTGCAAAGAACAGCCTAGGCAGTTTTCTAAATTCAGTCACCAAACACTGTTGTTTATCCAAGCACTTTATTATTTTACACAAGGTTTCTTCAAAAAGAAAAAAAGTTCTACGTAAACTAAAACAGATACTGAAAAGCACACAGAATGTATAGCTTAAGGAACCACACTAAGGTCAATACTCTTGCAGCCACCACGTTAGAAGCAGAATCCCCATCAAAACTTTCTCCTTCCAC